AGAGTGTTTAAACTAGGTTTTTTCCTATTGCTGTTGATTTCTTTGCCCCACATACGCCAGTGATAACAAGGATCCATCCTCCTGCTGCTGCAAATACAGGTTTGCCGATTTGAGCATTTTAACTTGAAAACCATTTGTAAAGGATCATGTGCACATTTCCAGTAAGGTTGCCAACCCTGTAACAATCTGGTCAGCTTGGGAAAAGGAACAATGCAAGTGACTCTTCCAGTACAAAGTTCTCCTCCCAGAGTACAAGTTGTTGAACTTAAAGTCCCCTGGGCTATGTATACCTCAGCCATTTGATTTAGTTGGTCTAGCAGAGGGGCTGGATGAGTAGGAGTCACACGGTCACTGCTCTAGAAAGGGGTTTCCTGTCGGACGGCGATTCAGTGACCTGCCAAATTGATTAAAAAAGGATGTTATGGTATGAGTTACTAAATTAAGGTGGTGGTGGGAGGCGAGGTGTGTATGTGGGAGATACATGGCTTGGAATTTTTTTAGCTATCAGTAATAGCTGGCCTTAAAGGATATAGAGTTTGAAATGGTTTTATTTGGTGTTTGGCTATAAGCTCATATTGTACTTCTCGGATATTATGGGAGAAAGATATTATGTGGAATCTAGGTTGTGGGAAAACATTGATACGGTCTGCTGTTTGTAGCAATAAAGCTAATGGTAACAAGCTTTGGGAGGTACATTCTGGCCTAACTAGTGCAATCCCTAAAATAGCAAACTAATCAGTTTATCAAACTCTAATTATTCTTATGTAACATAGGGATCCCTAGTGTCTCTTCATGCTGCCCTCAGATAATGGTCTTCCAGCAGCAACCCCTCGCTTCGTGACAAGTGGTGCTTTGTGGACCAGCTGGGGCCAGGCAGCTCTGCAACTCCGCGGTGGGGTTACACAAACGGCTTCTGGGAGCGATATTCTAAGGACAAGGAGGGTAGAGCTGGCATGTGCCTTGTTGGTCAGGAGCTTTTTGTTTGTTGGGTTTGTGGGGGTTTTTTTGGTGGTGGTGCTGGTGGTTAAACAAACAATTTACATTATAGGGGAGTGATCCGACTTTGAGAAGTTTTAAGTCATTTCAAAGATACCGCGTGACATGGCTGGTTAAGACCCTCCAGCTATGACACTAAAAAAACTTGTGAGGGAGCCAATTGTTCATGTTTAATCACGTTTATTCTGTCGCTGACTAGAAAGTTTGCTTTTTAACTTAGCTAAACACTGGTTCTCACACCACTGTTGTGATTTAAAAATAAAAACTTATACGCAGGTGTATCTCCCCATAAGTGCAATTTTTTTTCTCCTGTTGGTAACCGTTTGCCTTTAGCACTAGAAGTACCTGACTGCTGTTCGCAGTATGTGAAACCTGTGAAGAGCAGCCAGGGGCCTTTGTGTTGTGCAAGTCTGTTTTTAGCAGCAGACTATTCACGATTCACGATTCTTCACTGTTCACGACTACTGAACAGTGTCTAGTTAGCACATCCAGGGGAGAACTATCCCCTAAAACTTGTATTTAAAACAACTGCGAACAAGAGATTTTGATCATAAATACTGCTTTATTCTGACGTAACTAGGAGTTGACCAGACTAAGCTGTACTCCGGTGCTCTGCCCAGACTTCCCTCCCTGTGCCCCTTCCCAGGATGGCAAACGGATCCAGCGTCTTATTTTCAGTGGCTTATCCTAGGAGGGATGAAGGCTTTGGGAATTTGTGCAGCATGAGCAGGACAGAAACGGGAATCGGAAATTCACCCTCCAGTCCGCCGGGTTCAGCTGTTCCCCGAGCGCCTTCTTACACCAGCCGTCAAGATCTGATCCAGTAAATATCTGCATTTCAGTATTGCAGAGAGGCCTGAGCAGCGCTGAGCAACTGCCCTTACGGGGTTAGGGCACGCTTTGTAACGTATGTTACCGCTGCGTTGGGCAATCGCTGCATTTCATCATGGGGACTACCGTGGTCCAATACTGCAGTCTGAAAAACTATTCACAAAACCAAGCTGTTCTGGATGACACAAAGTGAAAAGCCTATTTCGCTTGGCTAACACAGCTACCGCTAAGAACAGAAATCGAGGTTTAGCTCGTCTCCTAAAATGGCAGCACCCCGATGACGGTCACTGCAGAGCAGCACTCTGTTTGGCCCGCTGCCCCGTGCCCTTGGTACCACGAAGTGGCCGCAGCAGCCTCCAGGACCCGGGCCGGGTGCGGGCCAGGCCTCGCCTCGCCTCACCGGCCACCCGGGCACGAAGCCGGGCTGCCCTCCCGCCCTCTCTGGATCATTCTAGA